TTTCAGGCCCCTAAAAGAACAAACCCAAACAGATCCCCAGCTGTCCAAAATCCAGTGTTTTCCAGCACTGTTCTTTTGGGAGTTGCCAAGATTTTATCCTGACCCTCACACATCAAACTGTGGAGGAAAAATGATGGAAGAAGTGGGGAAGTGGATGCTGTGGGAAGGCAAAGCCAAACACCCCGGATTTATGAGCAGGTTGTAACTCCAGACATTCCACAGGTTGTACAGAGAGCAAAGTTCACACCCGGGACCATCGATGGAGCTGAATGTTCACAACTAGGACACGGTGGAGAAATCCCAGTTTGGGTTGGAAGGCACCTTAAAGCCCATCCAGTCCCACCCCCTGCCACGGGCAGGGACACCTTCTACTAGTCCAGGTTGCTCCAAGTCCCGTCCAACCTGGCCTTGGACACTTCCAGGGATGGGGCAGCCACGGCTTCTCTGGGAAATCCATTTCAGCACCTCACCACCCTCATAGCCAAGAATTTCTTCCTTAAATCTAGTCTAAATCAACCTTCTTTTAGTTTAAAACCTATCCTAACAAACTTTGTCCCCATCTGTGTTACAAGCCCACTTTCAGTATTCACTAGGAAAGGAGCTGAAAATACAAAGTACCCCACAGACACAAACCCCAGTGATCTGCAGTGCTGCCCTTTATTTTGGCACCAAGTCCAGGAACCTCCAAAACTGATACCTGTTGGAGCAAGCACTGAAAGCTACTTATTTTTTTACAGGAACAAGATACTAAGCGATGTGCATGTAAACATGTTAATTCAATGCCTTAAAAGCATCTGCTCTAGATCCTGATTAAAGAATGAAACAAGAAAGATTCAGTAACACAGTACCTCTTCAACAACCCCCACTCTGTTACTGCAGCACTTTCCCCAGGTATTCCCACTCCATTTTTAACCTGTCCCAGCTCTGTAGCAGAGGCCTCCCAGTACAACTCATGTTTAGTTTCAATGTTTCAGTCCCCTCAGCTCTCCAGGGCACACCACGTTGAGGAGCTCAGTGAAGTCAAGACATTTGAGAGGTTTATTGGCAATCTGGGCTAAAACCAGACACCGAACTGCAGACAAACCTCACCCATGCAGTAGTTTGAGGCTCCTGTAAAATCCCAAAGCTCATTCCAAGGGCACCTGCCCACCTGAGCTGGTTGGTAACTGCAGACTGGCTGCTCTGCTTCCACTCCAAACTGCTGCACCAAAATCCAGAGAATGCAGCAATAACCAGCCCTCACACACAGTATTGAACCAAAGTACAGACAGTGTGGGAAAACCTTGCATGCCTGACCTACTGACTGCTTTCCAGAGGGTTCCATATGTTTTTCCCCCTAAAACAAAGAAGGTTATTCCCAAGCTGGGTTTCAAGTGCAAAGATGAATTTTGTTCCTTTCAGCTTCCCAAGTGAACCAAGCAGCAGAGCACTGCTGGAAACACACTGAGCCAGCTCTGCCTGTATCCTCCCTGCTTTCCCCTTCCTCAGGGAGGAACGGAAATGCTATAAATGCTGTTTGTCTGATAAAGTCAAACCAAAGTTCTACTGACACAGGTGAAGTGAGGTGACACTATCCAGCAGTGGCACCCTCCTGGACGGAGCAGTGCCCATTATCCAGGTGGCAATGCAAATGGATCGCTCACAAGGGATGCAGCTCCTCTCCAGCACTGAGTTCCTCAGTATGTCCCCACTGCTGTAATTCAGAGGAGAATATAAGACTACACCAATTTGTACCCTGGCTTGGAGCTCTTCAGGCATGACTCACTGCTTTAACAAACAATTAGCCATGAACCCAAGGGAAGTGGCTCTAATTGCCTCCCAAGAAACAATATTTCTGTACCAGCTCACTGCTGACCTTTCCCAAGCTGGCAGAGAGGACAAGACGAAATCTCTCTCCCCCGCCTTGTTCCATCCTCATATTCTGGTTTGCTTCTCCAACAAAAAAACAGAAGTTTTGTCAATGCAACAAACAATCCCAAGTTCTGACTATAAAACTACTTTCTCCAACTGCCTCAGAGCACAGAAGACACACTCTGGGTTAGGTGGTGCAGTCAGGCCATGGGAATTCAGCCGTCCTGGCTCTCTGTCCTCAGCCAGGAGAGGATTCCCACCTGCTCATGACCACGGGACAGCACAGCCCTGCACAGACACCACCTTGAAACAGTTCTGAAACAAGAACCACACAATTTTCCTGCCTCAATAGTGTTTCTCTCTCCCACTTGATTTTGCAGTTGCTTACAAACAGAAAGAAGAACTCCCAGAGCCCCTGGTAAAGATCAGGGTGGGACCCAAAGGGAGGGAAGAGGCAGAGCAGGAGGCAGAGCCCTGTCGGTAGCTCCTGTTGGATGTGTTTTCCATGTGGTGCCACAGCCTCCCCAGCAGTGAATCAGAGCCACATGGACAAGGGCTCCCTCCCAGCTGCCCATCTTCACAAGGCTGAGGCTGCCACAGGGATGTGAAATCACTGGAAACGAAATGCAACAATCCCGAGGCACTGAGAGCTGATCCCACTGAAACCTGGGGGTTCTTGTACGGGGGATATGGTTAAAGTTAAACCTCACACTGTCTGCTAATGAGTTCAGGCACTGATTTAATTTGGAAAGAGATGCTGTAGAGGACTTGAGTGTCTGAGGTGCAAGGGCAAGAACAGCAGTTCCTGGGATGCTGAGGGCTCTGACACTGTCACAGCCTGGGTGGCACTTTTCCAGCCTGAAGCACAGACGGTGACTGGAATTACTAGTAAAAACTGCACATTTTACTACAAAAATCATGTGAAGTACTGTCCCATCACTATAAATTGGCACAATCCTGAAGAAAGCAGACTCCCAAAGGGACTTTGTCCATGGATTTGAATGCTTTTATGAAGAAGACTCAGGTTTTTCATATTCACTTTATGGCAAACAAAACAGTATTTTTACTTGCTGACATTAACAGAAATAGATGCAAATAAACTGATTCAGGTTTAAAATACAGCACCCAGGTCTTCATTTTCCTGGGCCAGCTGAACTAAAAATGGGAATATGGACAGTGAGTTTAGCCAAGCTACACATCCACCTAAAACTGGTGTTGAAAATTCCACAGCCTTTGATTAAACAGATCCAGAAGAAATGTGGAAGCCAGTTTTATACAATTATTTAGTGCTGGCAGCACTGCCCAGCATTTTCTGCAGAGAAACAGTAACTTCTCCACTCAAAATAAAGTGAGCAGAACCTGCCTCCCCAAAGCTGCAACACTGGAAAGTTTCCTGGAAAAAACTCCCCAGGGCATTCCAGGAGGACCCTTGGGGGGTACAAGCACCTGCTCAGCTTCCATCCCTCATCTCAATCAAAATCAGAGCAAGCACAGCAGCAAAAACGACTCCAAAGTTGGCTGTGTGTAGCCAGAGCCTCTGCAAACAAATCCCACTGGAATGTGCTCAGGTTCGGCTGCACAACCCCAGGGAAAGGCACTGCCTCACATGTGCCCTCTTAATCTGAGGCTCAGTCACCTGACCTCAGGAATGCATCCCAAATATTCCATGGATTGAGCCAATCACCCTGGGGTGCAGAACTGCCCAGCACAATCACGGTTCAGGCACCCCTGGTGGCCTCAGTCTCACCCGTGTCTGTGACGGGCAATTAAAAACACAAATTATGTTCAAAAACCCATCGAGTGAGATCAGGGAAGTTCTGGGAAGTCTTGTCCCAAAACCTTCCAGTCAGGTATCCATTGCTAGAACTTTGAGAAGGAAAGATTCACCTCTCTTGGTCAGAGCATTACCGGGAAACTGCAAACACCCAGTTTGTCCTGGGGCTCGGTTCAGCTGGGTCTGGACTTCAACTGGGAATCAGTGGGAAAGGAACAGGAGGACCCTGCACCCTTTACAGGGGTGAAATCAGTGAGTTGGAGTGCAGGAGTCCCTCCCAGGATTGCAGTTTGCTGCTGACCCAAAGGAGATCTAAACCTGCACTTGGAGCAATTATAATGTGGGATTATGAAAATCCTACTAAACCTGACCCCCCTAGGCTGATCCCCCGCTGGATTCCAGGGATTCAGCCCCTGTCCCAGCTCAGCCCGGCCCCCTCCCAGGGGTAGGATCTCTGGGACACCTTTAGCTGCACCATTTCAGTGCGACTCAGCCGTGCCCCGGTGCACACCCGGCACTGCTGCTCCATTCACACAGCAACGGACTCCACCAGGAATTCTGCACAACCCCCAGGAGCCACCTCCCCCGGCACTGGGGTACACCCGGCCCGGGCACCCCGGGGAGTGACTGCAGAGCCCGCACCAACCAGTAAAACCACCTTTACCCCGAGCTCAGCGTCACACCGAGCTCCGCTCATACGAGGGGAATCAGCGCTCCAGAATTCCTCTTCCCTCCCAAAGAAAGCTCCACCTGCCCCAAACCCTTTGTGGCACCGGGCGGCTGCTCACAGCCCCTCGGGAGGGATGACTCCTGATCCCTGGGTGCTCCGTGCCCACCCCGCACCTTTCCAACCGGGATTCGGGGCAGATTATCCCAAATCCCTGCGAACCCAGAGCGGCTCAGCTCGGCCCTTCCCCGGCACAGCCGCCCCGCTCCAGCCGCCGGGACCCCTCACACCCAGACCCCAAACACCTCCCTCACACCTCACACACCCCCCTCACACCCCATACACCCCCTCACACCTCACACCCCCCCCCTCACACCTTACACACCCACCTCAGATCACATACACCCCCCTCAGACCTCACGCACCCCCCTCACACAGCCCCCAGACCCCATATACAGTCCTCACACCCCCCTCACCCCCTCACCCCTCACACACCCCTCACCTGGCCCTCACCCCCCTCACACTCCGTCACACCTCCCAGACACCATACACCTTCCTCACCCCCCTCAGCCCGCGGGCCCGGCGGGGCCTGCCCTAACAATATCTTTTAGCCGCTTTCGCTGATCGCCCAGCGGCCGCGCGCGGCGGGCAGGCTGGGCGCCCCTCGGGGGCTGCTCTGGGCCCCCCCGGGGTCGTGCGGGCGCTCACCATGGTACAGACGGCGGCGAGTCTCCGCACGGTCACCAGCGCCTCCATCCGCGCCCGGCCGCCGCCATCTTGGGCCGCGACTGACAGCGCCAGCTGCGCCACCCGGTAACGGCGCCGGTCGTGCGCCGGAACAGCGTCCCCCGTGCCCGACAGCAGCGTTCCGCCGCCTTCCCGGTCCCACTGCAGAGACCCACGGTGTGGGAGAGAGCCGGGATCCCAGAATCCCGGAATGTGCCGAGTTGGAAGGGACCCACTGGGATCATCGAGTCCAACCCTCAGCCCTGCACAGGCCCAGCCCTAAGAGTCACACCATGCGCCCTCTGGGGGAAGAACCTTTCCCTGAGATCCACCCTGAGCCTGCCCTGACACAGCTCCAGCCATTCCCTGGGGGCTGTCCCTGGTCCCCCCAGAGCAGAGCTCAGTCCCTGCCCCTCCTCTGCCCCTGCCCAGGCAGTTGGAACTGCACTGAGGTCTCCCCTCAGTCTCCTCTGCTCCAGCTGAACACACCAAGTGTCCTCAGTGTCCTCACACGGCTTCGAATCCAGGCCCTGCACCATCACTGCAGGACCACCTGGCTCCAGGGCTCTGGAGGGGGCTGTGCCGGTGTGGGTTCCCTCCGGGGCACTGCAGGGATGGTGTGGGGTGAGACCTGCTCCCCGTGGGCACTGCCCAGGCTCCCCAGGGCAGTGGGCACAGCACCAAGGCAGCCAGAGCTCCAGGAGCGTCTGGACAACGCTCTCGGGGACAGGGTGGGATTGTTGGGGTGTCTGTGCACGGCCAGGAGCTGGACTGAATGATCCTTGTGTGGAGACCTCAGAGCCCCTTCCAGGATCTGAAGGGGCTTCAGGGAAGCTGGAGAGGAACTGTTCATCAATAACTGTGACAGGAAAAGGGGGAACAGATTCAGGCTGAAAGAAGGGAAATTTAGTTTAGATATTAGAAAGGAATTCCTGGCTGTGAGGGTGCTGAGGCCCTGGCACAGGTTGCCCAGAGAAGCTGTGGCTGCCCCATCCCTGGAAATGTCAAAGGCCAGGTTGGAGGCACTTGGAGCAACCTGGGCTAGTGGGAGGTGTCCCTGCCCAGGGGATGGAACAAGATGAGATTTAAGGTCCCTTCCAACCCTTAACATTCTATGATCCTGTGATTCCACAGTCTTTGTGGATCCCTTCCAACTCAAGGTATTCTATGATTCCCCAATTCCCTGGGCTCAAGCAGGAGACTGGAGGCTCCAGTGGGACATTCCTTTGGCCCAGGGTGGAGGCTGGGGGTCCCAGTGGGATGGACAGTGCATGTGTCACCGGTGGAACTGGGGGAGCACCATCCCTGTGGCGGATGAAAATGGGGAGCTGGGGGATGTCACCAACCCCACAGCCGGGGGGAACCACGGCCAGCCTGGAGCACGAGGAAACTGCCATTCCTGAGACTCCTCCCAGGGGCTGTGAGCGCCCAGAAATGGGATTTTGTGAGGGTGGGACAGTGGTGTTGCCCCAGTGACACTGTGCTGTCCCACACCACGCGTCCTGCTCCAACACAATCACAAAAAGGCTTTCAGAGCACAGAGCTGGGAATGACAACAGCGTCCATTGTAACCCCAGGGGAAAAGGAGTGGAAAATGCTCCTGAGCCACCACACAGCTCTTCCCTCAGCACACACTGAGAGCAAATGCTCCTCAGAGGCTCATCACTCGTGAAGCCAGGGATGGGGAGGAATATTTGTCATCTGGCTGGTGCACATCTCCAGACTGTGTCCAACCTGGAAGGACCTGGCTCCTATTCCATATTCCTCCTCAAACCGTGAACTGAGGGCTGTCCAAATGTGGCTGGAGCTCCCTGCTCACACTCCCAGCAGTGCCAGGACCGTTTCCACACCCCAGCCCTGACCTTGTGGGAATATCTGTGGGGAAGGGAGGATGGTTCAGTTTCCAAAGCACAAAGTTTTTTCTGAGGCCAAGATGTTTCCATTCCATTTGAGTCTCTGCCTGCAGCGATGTTCTCCCTCTGCACACTGTGCTCTCCACGTCATCCCCTCCAGGCTCCCCAGGGAGGGTGTTTAGTAACCTAAAAATCCCCACTCCTTACAAAGGATCCCAAAAGTGAAACAGGACATGTGCTCCTTACAGGGTTGCCATCAACAGCAAGGCACCAAAATTAGGGACAGGAAAAGCAGGAATAGTGGGATCTGTGCAATGTTTAACCACACTGAACTGTATATTTAAATGATCATCTCTCTCACATCCCAAAATAGAATCAAATGTGATTTATCACAGCTGGAGCAGCAGCATCTGAGGACATTTCCTGTCCCCTTGGCCTCAGGATCAGAACAACATGGTGCTGGTTATAATTATGGGGCTAAAAGCACATCAAGTCTGATTCCTCGAGCGCATCCCATCCCTTTCTGTTCCTTTCTTATCTCCTCCTCTTTTACCTTTCCCAGCTTTGAGGGTATTTAGTCACTGGGAGCAAAAAGGTGGTTAAAATAAAATTTTTGTTAAGTCCGGTTTGGGCCCCCAGTTTGCAACCAAGAGGGTCAGGCAGAGCTGCAGGGATCAGTGGGCTGGGGGCTGGAATAAATTCAGCAGCAGGGGATGTGAACACGAGTTTTATCTGAGGATCTGCGAAAGCAAGTGGCCTTTCCCCAGGACCACATTTACCATTTCTGCCCCCAAATGAGCCCAGTTTCCCCATCCAAGCCCCACTAACATCAATATACTGTACAAAAGATGAGTTAGAGGTGAATGCAACCGTTACAAATGGATTTTTGGAGGAAAGCTCATTTTTGGCAGTGCTAGGCAGGAGGAAAAGCCTTTTCCCAGTGTTCTGGGATCTTTGCAAGGTTGCTGTGACTCCGCTCATCTCTTACTCCTTTTGTACAATGCACGAGGAAGAATTACAACCAGTTTTAACAGAAACCTGCCACCCCCCTGTGACAAGCACTGTGGTAATGGCAAATATTTTTATTTTTGGAAAGCTTCATCTCTGAAGATGTGTAGGAGGGCCAACAACAATATAAATAGAAAATCTTATAAAAGCAGAGCCAAAAGCAACACAGACCAATAAATAAATCTGTTAAAAATTTGGTGTGAAAGTAACATAATTTCTGTACAACATGCAAAGGCACAAATCTTTGCATGAGCAGCTGAAGGAGTGGTTTGTGAAATCTCCAAATGTTTCCAAAGTCACTCAGTTTTGCAAACATTCTCCCTCTAATTTAAGTTATTGTTTTTCCAAGAGAATTTGAATTTAAAACATGGGTTTCTTAGCTAAATATAAGTCCATTGTGCACAAGGAATTAAAATCTCCTTTAAAAACAATTGTTATTTTACATGCCAACGGTTACACAATCTCAAAGAGTGTGAATCCTTCTGCGTGGTTTCACTCAGTGAAAAGACTCTTTTGACAATCAAGAAAATCAGATAAGGATCAGGTCTGAAAACCTCTGGGTTTGATTCTATATTCTGCTTGAATTCTTTCACAATTAGAAGCTAAAAGTTATGAGGAGCTTGAGAATAGATTTAAAACTTTTGGAGAATATGCTGCTTTTTTATGTTTACTCAAAGCCCTTCTCTCTGGACAGAGATTTCTGCACCCAGTGGAACAAGCTTTGGGGAGAAACACAAGAAGCCTGGGCTGGTGCACAAGAAATTCAGATTAAACCCCATTGCAAAGGAACTGGAAATCAACTGGTCTGCTTCCAGCAGGCAGCCTACAACTGCTTTCACATTTGTTTTAAGCAACCACAAGCCCTCCCAGCCGCCAAGAGCAGCAGTTCAACATTTCCTGCACCACTGCTCTCACTGCTGCCTCCACACATCTCCTCTCCCGTGTCAGCACAGCATCCATCCCTCCAGCACATGGCAAACAGCTTTCCCAGCCTCCTCGCGCAGCAGCTGCTCTGCTCCCGTGGTCGTGACTCCTCGTTTTCACATCCCACATCCCAGTTCAGCTTCATTTAAGCACAGTTTACATCCTTTTTCCGCCTTACATTTATCTACACTGAAGCTCACCCTCCAACTCTGTGTGACTGCGACTGACTCTCTTCAGAGGGGTCTTTCTGGAGCTTCTCAGCACTGGCACGACAGTCCAGGAGGACCTGAATTGTTTCAGTTAATCTTGGAGCAACCAGCAGAGGTGTTTTCTTCTAGGAATGTCTTTGCACATATGGAATATTCTTTTCTGGCTTTTCTTCTCGGGCTGAAACTCCTGTGGCCACCTAGAAGCTGACAGATATATTGCTCGGTTTTGTAGGAGGACTGTTGTGATGAATCCTTTCATATTACTCACTAACATATGCTTTTAATAGCAAATTGTAACAAAGGTTCCTACATCCTTCCCTTGGCGAGGCAGACAGTGACACACTGCCGCTAATCTCAAATTTATCACATGTCCAGCTCAAGAACACATTTCAAAGGGCCATATTAATTGACCACAAGATTTTGAGCTTTTTTCCTGTTTCTCGTCTCATTTTGCCTGTTCTTACAAAACTTACGTGAGACTAAAGCAGCCTGGGAAAGAAATTTCCCGGAAAAGATTTTTGGTTTTTTAGTGCTTTAGTGTTTTAAGTCTCCGGAAGCAAATTTACACTGGAAGAGTTGAAACCCATTCCCACAGGAGCCATGTCCCCAAAGGCACGTGATCTGGAGGCTCCCTCCCAGGACCATGAGCTGCGTGGGCCTCCAGACTTTTTTTCCACCTCTTCCTCAGCTGACTGTCATGATGGTCACAGCAACAACACCCTGTGCTTGCACAAATAGTGCTGCACAAGTGGTTTTTAGAGGGGAAACAGAACCTTAGAGAAGTGACATGTTCATAAATCTTCAGATTCTTGTGCTGATTTCACTGGACTGCTCTGCCCTGGAGCTGGAGTTTTCTAAGGGCAGTTCACATCCTCTTGGTGTTGGTGTGGAAACTGAGGTCATGGCAGTCCCCAGAGCTTTGGGATGATTTCCCATCCTCTTGTTGTATCTCACACCCCCCCCCTTGCCCTCCAGACCCTGCTGGGGAGGGCTCAGGCGCGTGCTGGGGATGAGGCAGTGGTGTGGAAGCAGCTGGGCACAGAGAGGCTGTTTGGTGTCTCCAGCCTCTCCACAGCGAGCCCAGCCTACTCCTGCCTGCCAGGAGTGTGCAGAGCACAGGGAAAACCTGCACCTTCAGCTCTCCAGGGGCTGTGGGTGGATTATCTCTGTTCATATCCACGTGTCCCACACAGCCGGACAGTCCACGACTCAGCAATCTCTGCAGCTCTGCCTCTCCTGCTTCTTCAGTCCCCTTCAGAGAAGTCTTTCAAAGATTAAATGCTCCAACTACATTTCTGTTCTTTAATTTCCATCTGGTTTATATCTGCAGTTTTGCTTTATCTGGGTCATTCCCTCCCCGGTGTCCTTCCCTTTTTCTTTCCTGCCCGTTATCCCTGGGAGCTGAGAGCTGATTGTAGCTGCTGTACAGTTACAGGCTCTCATCCCCACAGCCCTCACAGCCCCAGCTGTCCTAAAACTATGCTCACTTTTCCTGTAGAAGTCATTCTTTCTTCACTCCCTCTGTCTGGCTCACCCGTCCTCAGCTCCCCAAGGCTGTCACCAGCCCTAAATTTCCTTTTCCATGTTTGGAGAGGCTGCAGTGTCCCAACCCAATGCTGCCCCATGTTCCAGAGGGCCATTAGGACCAACAACACGTATAAACCAGCAGATCAAATGTATCTTGGAGGACACACATGTCAGCTGGGATTTGGGAATAACCCCCAGCTGCCTAAAAACTCGGGGGGGTGTAGGGGGGAAATGTGTTTGTTTTCCTGAAGAGGAGTGTCCCATCAGCGCTCCAAAGGGGCCCAAAGCAGGACACAATAGGACAGGGAGAACAACAGAGCGGGGTTGGAGCCCATTGAAAACGCAAAGGAACCGGACAGGCAGAACCGGGTTATTCAGGGTGGGATTAGAGCAGAGCACGGGGTGACCGTATCGTGACGGCCGGAAAACACAAGAATCTCGTGGTAGCAGAGAGCCAAGGGACAGGCAGCACATCAAACAGGCCGTGGGGAGGGAGGCAGCGCGGGGAGAGCCGGGGATGGAGGCTCAGGCTCCCCGTGCCCGGCTCCAGGAATGTCCCGGTTCCCCTCGTGATTGGCTGCGGGATGGAGGAGTCAGTTTTCACGGGGGCTGATCAGCAAGTTCCCTTTTGCTTTCCAAAGTCTCTGTCTGAGCGGAGCCATCGGGAAGAGGAGGCCGGGCGCTCTCACATTCCTGGAGAAAACTGCTCCGAGGAGATGAGAAGGCTCCTCTCCCCAAGGATACACGGCCAGGAACAGGCGCCGAGGGGCCGCTTTCCTTCTTTTCTCCCCCGGGCCGAGCGCAGCAGCTCTCATTCCTGGCATGCGGCTCATCCCTCAGGATACCATGTCCCAGTATTCCACTAACTTCCTCCTGCTGCCCATCCCGGAGTACCCCGTGGGTGACCTTGTGCCCAACAAGATCATCAAGCTCGTGGTGCTGGGCGGCAGCAGCGTCGGCAAGACAGGTAAGAACTCAGGTGTGTTCCCTGCTTTTCCTGCCAGCGGGAATTCCCAGCTCCTCTGCACCTCATGCAAACCCAGCACCACAGAATTTGGTGCATCTTGAACATTTGGAGTTATTATTTTTTAAAGTGAAGTGGCTTTGCTGTCGGGGGGTGTGAGCAGCAGAGGCTGAGAGGGGAGGGGCAGAGCTGGGAGTTTTGTGCTCACAGATGATTCTACCTGGCCTTGTGTAAATTGTTGAACTGTGTCTAAATTTCCACCCCCCAAAATGGCACCAGTGGCTCTTATCCCCCTGCTGTATTATGCTATTTTATGCTCTGCAGACAAACAGCAGCGTACAAGAGGTGTCTTTCTGGATTATTCTCCAAAGGAGTGGGAAAGAGGGTAAAATGAGCATTTTTGCTTTTGAATATATGGTTCATGATGTCAGAAATTATTAAGACCAGATCTGATTGATGACATCTGAGGTTCCACAGGATTCAGTAAAATACTTCATTGGACTGGCTTTGAAGCAGCCACATTTCCCTGTTATTTTTAAGTAGTTTGTTGAAGATCATTGCACAGGCAATTTCATCTAAAGGGGCTTAAAGGGTGACCACTGTGAGAAAAAATGATTGTTTTAAATGAAATCTATGATAAGAGTTGTTTGCAGAATAAACCGTTTTATTTAGCCAGTAATTAAGTGGGTTTGCAAGTTCCTAGGAATCTACTACAGGAAAGCACTACAGGAATATAAGTTACTGTTCCCATGATGGGATTTTAAGTGTTCTAAAGTATCAAGAAAAAGGAAAATGTTCTAATGTAAAAGCAGCACAGGTTAAGGGGAATAAGAAGGCCCGGGGTGCTGCAGGAGACACAAGTGTGCAGAGCACATGCAGTTTGTTTGCTGGGTGTGATCTGGTCTCACTCCTGGGTTTCAGGAGGGTTTTTAAGACCAGGAAGAACCATCCCATCCATCCCTCTCCCTTCTTGTATGACACAGGACACAAATGTGGTATTTGGACTAGTTGCAGTCCACTGGCTTGTTAGTCCTTTTCTACATTATTTCAGAGCAAAGCACAGATTGTTTTACCTCCAGTCACAAGGAGCCAACCTCTGTGTCCCACCCTGAACAGCCACACTGAACCAAGGGCTCACTTCCAACACAAGCTGTGAAAAGCTCTGGATCAGGTATCACAGCCTGGCCCCAGATCTTCCTCTGTGAGTGTTGAGAGAAGTATTTGCAGAGTAACATGTGAGCAGTCCAGAGATTAACTTGGTTTCATATGAGACTAATTCTTCCAGGAAGATGCTACATGTGTTCTGCACAGATTGCTTTTGGTTCCCATTAAGGGCCCATGTTTTTGTCATTGTTTTGCAGCCCTGGTTGTGCGTTTTCTCACCAAGAGATTTATTGGGGACTATGAAGCCAACACTGGTGAGTTTGCTCTCTCCAGCAGGACTGCAGATAGTTTGAAAATAAATCTGCTCTCTGTAGTGACTGGTGCACATTACAGGAAAGCCAGGCGGTGTTAGATGTCCATAAGGTGCATATTTTCAGTTAATAGCCTGGAGCTATGAAAGCAATAAATCAACGGCTCATTATTTATGACCCCTTCAGCTATTTTTTTTCCTACTCGATGGAAAAGGATCAGAGTAAAAGGTTTGCTTGGGCACATACCTATACTAAAACACAGACTCAAGGAACAACTAAACCGTGGAAACCCAACGCTGCTCTCCCTGGAACCCTGGGGAAGCCAAAGCAATTCCAAAGGGTGTAAAATGCAGCTCAGGGGGTTTTCTGTGCATTCCCTTTTTTCAGAGGCTGTTATGACCAGGGAGACTTCCAAACTGAAGTCTTCTTTCCCTCAGATAAGCAAAGTGACCATTCATTCCTTGTTTAATGCTGGCACCTCAGAGGGTATGTTCCTGTTTCATTCACAGCCTCTGTTCCAAGGAATGCTGACTGATTTGGCTGGTTTTGTAGGATGGATCACGTCCCCTGTGCTCATTCCTACTGGCACATCCAGCTCACAGTGTTTGGGTGAAGGCGGACAGGATTCCAAGCAGCGATTGGTTCACTTTGGAGGTGCCTGCAGAACTCAGGATGAGGAGCAGGAAAGAGGGAGCAGTACACGACACCTTTGATCTCTGCCTGTCTGATGAAATACAATGTGAAAGCTCCTCCTGACAGCTCCCCCTCGCTGACCCCGGGTAACCCTGATGCTTGGCTGCACTGGTTCTCTTCCTGTTCCGTCATCCCTTCCCAGGGAGGTTGTACATCAAGTCAGACTCGAGCTGTGCAGTGGATTCCTGCCAGAGCCATTGCTGGGAACCACATGCTTTCCTCATTAAGCTCCCAGGCCAACGGCCATGCTGGAGAAGAGCTAAATGTGCCAGAAAGAAGAAACAGGTGGCAGTGGATTTGGGATCACTCAGCCGTGTTCTCCTTCCTCTGGAGAACCTGCTCTTTGGTCACAACAGGAATAACATGTTGGCTGCTCGTGGTTCCCATAAAACAGTGCCATCTTTTCAGCTTACTATCTGACCTGTTTAAAAAGCCCAAAATGAATCCCACAAGGGCTAGATTCCCTCACAGTCCGTATCAAAACACTTTGCATTCAGGTGCTAAATTCCCTTGTATTGTAAATGTTTCTATGGGCTCGGATTCTTTGCCACTGGAATAAACCCACTTGTTTCCTTGAAACAAAGATGATTTTCAGAAGCATTATTGTCACTGGCTGACCTCCCTGTTAATCTGAACTGCTGCCTCTCCAGCAGCTGGGGTTCCTCTGTGTTGGAGCTGCAGCACATTGTTCTAGAGGCAGCAGTGACTATTGTATTTGGAGCAGACAGAAGGGCTGTACACCCCAGCTGTGCAGAAAGCACTTCTTCACGTATCCACGTGACTTGTGTTAAGTTCTAAAGAAAAATCATGATGACATCAACCTCTGAAGTTGTTCTTGTCACAACCACAGATATTTCAGAAGATCAAGATTTAGATTTTCATTGTCATTTAACTCCCACTCCAGTAACAAAATTAAGTTTCAGGCCAGACTAGTGATGGTTTTATTAGAGCTAGATCAGTCCTGGATGGTCTGAACTGGCACTTGGCCCTGAACATGTGTCATCCAGATTAACCAGAGGTCAGGTTCAAAGCATCCAGTCTTTGGGGATTTCAACCAAACTCTGCTAAAATCATGCAAATCCCAAAGAGTATCTGAGTCGTTTGAATACAGTCACTCACTGTCCCAAACTAGAATGCTTTTCTTTTTTAAAGACATCCAGAAAAATGCAGTAGGAAACAGCTCACTCCTCTTACAGACAACATCTAGATATCTCGGTTTGAGATGGAATATAAATGCAGTTCACATTTTATAAAGTGAATAATAGGGGGTGAAACCTGACTGGGATTTATGCCCCCACTTGGAGTATTTAATTCAGTACAAAGAGCCTCTTTCCCAGCCCCCATCCTGGCTTGTCCATCCAAAACATCCCCCCCAGTAAATACCCCCCACCATTGAGCCAACAACAACCACTGCCGGGCCATTCCCTTCCCCATGGGCAGCTACATATCCCACAAAA